GGGGGGGGGGGGGGGGGGGGGGGAGGTGGTTGGTTTGTCTATTAAGGTAATTGATTAACAAAATATGCTGAAAATATCTCTCCTACATATAATCTGGTATAAATGGCGGTGTAAGTTGGGATCAATTGATATAATGCTTCATCTAAAACCTTTTTATTTTGTATCTAATTCGGTGTTCTGCTCTCACACTTCCAAACCCTTATTTTCTCTCTGATTTTTTTTTTAGTATGGTATTTATTGGAAAGCTGCCTTGATTACAATTAGTTGCGGTCTCTTTGGAGGCTAATTGAATTGCAGCAAGGGTGGTGTATAATCTCACATTGACTAAGATATGACTTAAATAGAGCCTTTGAAGCTTGGACAGTTCTTATTTTACAAGCTGGTTCTGTGAGATCAAGTTAAATTTTAAACCTAAATTTCAAGAGTATCCAAGAGGTACTATCCAACTTGGAACCTAGGGGATATCTTCCTTAAAAGAAGATAAAAATTCCAGCAATCTCAAAATAAGCTGAGATTTGTGTTGCATTTTCTCTCTCTCTCTCTCTCTTTTTTTTTTTTGGGCCCAGATCGTAGTGTATGGTTGGGCAAAACTCTCATTGGAGTTTGAATTGCCTGCTGTACTGTATATGTTGCAAAAGGTGTTTTTGGTTGTTGCTCCTTTTTTGCAGTGTTGTTTATGCTAATATCTACATGTTTGGACAATACTTGTTTTATGAAGCAAATATTGTTCTGTGAAGCAAATATTACTAGTCTTTAAGCATGATAGTTGTGTGATGAAATGTTTATCTTCAGTGTTGGCTAGCAGCTTCTTTGTTGAAACACAAGATTGATAGGAAGGATTCACTCGCCCTTGCAAAACTGTACTTGAATTTCAATTGTAAGGAAGAGGAAGCCACAGATGTTTACTCAGAACTGTGGAAGCACGTGAAGGAATTTTCAAATTATTTACAAAATGGAATTTGTGTTGAGAAATGTGATGTAAATGGTGCTTCAGATTCCAACAAACCTGAGCTGAATGATTTGGCAGAGAAGCAGAAGGATTTTCTGGGTACTTGTGCTTCAAAACTTGTGAAATCTGTCACAAACGAACATGATCTTCAAATGAAAACTCCCCCAACAGGGGTTTCCCAAGACCAGACTAATGAAGTTTGTTTATCTCCAAAGACACCCAGTAGTTTTCCTGTGGAAGCAGATGCTATCTCCATGGAATCTTGCTCAGAAGATGATGGAATGAATTCTATGACCTTAATAAGAGCAGAATATTCATCCATTGAGCACTGGAGTAATGATGTCAACCCTGTTACAGGTTCTTTGGAAATAAAGAGTCCTGTTAGAAGTACAGATATTACACAATCTGATGGCATAGTTTCTGAAGATCCTCATTTTTTAGTGAATGAAGATGTTGCTACTGACAATGCTATGAATACGTTTACTCATCCTGTGCAGCTTGACAGTGTTGAGATAGATGCTGTAACTTGCGTTAGTGCTGCTGTTCCCGAGGGCAGACAATCATACAGTGTAATGGGTCCTGTAAGTGGTGAGTCAACTGCTCAGGTTAGTAGCTTTTGTACAAGTCTTTTGATACTATTTTTAGTGTTTATTGATAATCTTGTGTTGCAATGCAACAAAATCTGGTCAACTTCCTGTTGCTTTGTGATCATTGCTACAATTTTGAAAGTCATTATGCAATCACTTGGGAAGTTAAGCTTTTAGATTCGTTTTTCTACATTATATTAGTTTCTAGCAAAATATTTTGAAGTTCAATCTAGGCTATCCTTTTTCCACCTATTTTTCTATTGAATGATAATGGTGAGCTTGTGGTTTAACTGCATGTTTAGCCTAATGGCCTTTACATGAGCAAATGTGATATAATATTTGCATGAAATGTTTATTATTTTATTGAGTTTTTTTTTTTCCTGTATAATACTTTTTGAATATTTTTTTAATGTAATTTAATATTATTGATTTTGCCTAAATAAATTTTTATTTCTTTAAAAATATTATCGAACAACATATAATGTCTTAAATATTTTATAATTTAAATTTCCTTAATTCATATTATATTTTTTGTAAATCATCATTAAATAAAGCATCATTAATTAAGTAATTTTTTTTAGATTTTAAAAATTAAACTTTCAATATTTTATTTGTTTTTATTATTATTACAATAATTATTCATAATTTTTTTATTGGATGAATAACTAATTTTATATAAATTTGAATTTTTTAAACAAAATACCAAATAACTTCTAGAAGAGAAACCTTTAAGCTAAAAAAAGTGAAATTTAACAAACAACTTTTTCTTATTTTTTTAAGTTCTTATTTTTAGCTTTAACTTATAAGTTACTTAAGTGAAAAAAAATGCTGGGACAAACATACCCGTGTACTCTTTTGTGTATTTGAAATAATCCCTTAACGTCTACTAATTCTTTCTCTAAAATAATTGGAATATAGTATACCTATTAAATTTTTTGATGAGGTTGCCAAAAAAAAGGTTTTCTTTTTTATTTTAATAGAAAAAGAATATAGTTTTTTTCATAAAATTTTATTAGAAAAGATAAAATAATATATGGTCATGTGATGTTTATTCGGAGTGCTTTGAAATCATTCCCATCATATGGGTTCATGCCTGTTCCTTGTATCTTGCAGATGGCAATGTCTGCTATTCCATCTTCTCCGGAGCACAATGCAGTCAGTACAGACAGGCCTTTAGATGATATTTTTTATCTTAGTAGTGAGGATAATTGCTACATTCATGAGGCTGAAGTCATATTGGAAGAACCAGTTAACTCTTTCTTTGTTTCACCAGTGATACTGCAACCCTTCAATGGTGTGCTCATGAATGAAAATACGACACATGTACCTGGCAGAATTAATATTCCTGGATATATGAACAGTGACAATTCTCAAGCTTACTCTGTCACTCCTGAAATGTCCCACCTTGCCTACCCAGACCCACTACCGGGTGAAATGGAGAGAACAGAAAACGGGAATGAAGAAGCCTTCACAGACCCGCTGCTAATTGAAATGGAGAGAATAGAAAAGGTGAATGAAGAAGCCTCCAAGATACATGAGCAAAAGGTACGAGCAGCAATCTGTTTCTCTTTCCCCGCCCTTTTCTTAAATCTCATCTTTTAGATTCTGATTCCTTCTACTTTCAGCTTACTTTTGTTTCTTTGTGAGACAGTTATTGCAGCTCCAATCTGACTATAAAAAGGAGTTTGAAAAGTTGAGTGAAAAGTACAAGATTTTGCTTGAGAATGTCAATACTGAAGCAACACTAAAAGGAATGGAACTTGAGAAACAATGTAAATTAGTTTTGAGGAATAAGGTATTAGCTGAAGTTTGGATTCATAGCGAAAGAGATGTGGCACAATGGACAGACCAAGGTATGGATAATGCGTAAGGTTTAGGTTCATATATATGTTAGTCTGTTAATTATCCATATATTATATGACATCAATAGTTGTTAGGAACAATAGAATAGAAACAGATTAGGAAGATGAATTAACATGTAAGCGCTTGTCTCATCTACCTAGATATTTATAATCGGGACTTATTTAAGTTGAGTAATCGCGAAACTCCCATCCATTAGAATCCAAAGTTCAAAGTTACCAATCTGGGTTAATCCTGAAAAAAATTCTTTCAACAAGCTAAATTAAGCTCTATTCCAAAATAAAGAGATTGGTATTGCAATAAACTGCTACACTGGTGGTTGCAAATCACCTTTTATTTAAAAGGAGCTGATAGATTTTGGCACTACTTTTGTATATTTATGCACTAATTTCTTAAGATACTAATTACTAATTTCTTACAATACTAATTTACATTAAGAGCCCTTAATTAATGATCTCAAGATTAAGTTTACTCTTTTTATTATCACTTATCTGTTTATAAAAACAATCATTTACCCTCTGCTTGTTTGAGAAGAATGGAAATCAATTTAAGAGAAAATAGAAAGAAAGAAAAATGATTTTTTCCCCGTGAGTCAAGTTTTTCTTTAACCAAATAAAAGAAAATACATTTTATAGCATATTTTCTTTCCTCTCACTCAAAGAGACCATGAATGAATTAGCTAAAAGGAAAATTACATTAAGGGTTTTAACTCAACACCTTTACGTAGAGAAGAGAGCAAAAAATAAATACTTTTCTCACTTCACCTACACCCACAATATATGCTTTATTGTTTGCTCTAAGATTATGTTTTTATTATGTTGTCAATATCTTTTCAATGAAAGTCCCGTTTTCCCAGTGTATTGATTATTTACAAAACTAAATTTTACTCAGTTCTTAAATAGAATAAGGTCAAATCGAGTACTTAAATAAATGGTAATTGTATTACTTAAGTTTGGTTTAATTCATACTTTCATACATGAAAAATATAAAATATCGAGTAATTTGATTCTTTGAAGAAAACTAACATCAATTTATTAGTCCTCAACTATTGAAAATTGAGAGCGACGTCAAAATCATCTTGTTTATGAACCATGGGAGTAGCTAATAAAGCATTTGATGTAGAAGCAAATTTTATGTCAACATTCATTAGAGAGCCAATTCATATCACCTTCTGCGAGGAATTGGATTAATATCAACTTTCTTGAACGGACAGAATTTTCGTTATCTTGTATGTGTGTGTATATATATATTATTTCCATCCAAATTTATATTTTTAGAAGGGCCAAACCCATTTGTGTTTTATCATAATTGACGGTCACATACCCTGAGAAGAAAATGAAAATAAATTCTTTGGTTTTTAATTTTAATTTAAAGCATTTATAAATAAAGTATGCGTAAAAGAAAGTTTGATTCACAAAATAGGGCATTTAATTATTAGATATTTTAGGTAATTAGGATTGGAGTAACTACAAGAGTAGGTAAGTTGAGAGTGCCATTAATTTTTCTTCCACCCAAATAAATAAAAGTTGAATAGTGAAAAGTACAGGAGATATGAAATACCTAATGCTCCAAGAATGAGGAAGATGGGGAAAAGATCATATGCGGATGAATGAGAATTGGAGGCTTTTATTGAGATTTGTTTTTTGAAAGAAGCCAATATGCAAAATTAGAGAATAACTTTACCAAAGAACGTGGGGATCATAACTCTATGCCTCATATCCTTGTAAACAAGAGGAAATGTCTTATTTCAAACTGTTAACAGTTATAGAAACATCTATTGTCTTTCACTCCCAAACCCAATACGAACTTTTTACCCTAATTAATTAATGTCCGACTTCACATATAAGATTTGTATGCTTTTTAGCTATTAGATTAAACCAAATGAATGGACTAAAGTTGGTGTTAAATGTGAAACTCTTAAAATGGTGTCGATTGATTCTAATATTGTCTGTGTACTTATGCTGTTAGACTAAGAGTACTATAACTTCCATGAATTGGTTTTGCATAAGCACAAAACCGTAAATAATGGACCAAGTTGGGGATCATAGTATCAAAACTGAACTACTTCCAAGATGCTTATGTTTGGGGGAATAATGCAAAACCGTATTGTGACATGTTTTTCTATGAAATATCTTGGCAAAAGCCACATAAACCGGCTCTCAACTTGTGAAATTTAGTTCAATTCCAAAATATTATATTAACATTTAATTTTGGGCATTATAATTTATTTATTTGGGTAAGGTTAGTTAAAATTTGTAGTTGATCTAGGGGTCTCTGCTTATCTTATTTAAATGTCAGATTCTCATGCTAGGGCACCCAACCCTGGCTAAATTCTTCATTTATCAGTGGTCTTTCTACCTTGATATATGTATATGAAGTTATGAACTATAAGCCTATAACAGATCTGGAGGTTGCACTCGGATGAAGACATTCTGAGTGATTGTTGTAGACGTTAAATGTTGATTAACAGTGTAAATGTTTCATTGTTTACTTATTTTCTATCTCTTCATTTTATTATTCCTGTTTACCTTTATGTTTCAAAGGCACAACTGTGCTCAGTATTATGGTCTTTGTGTCAACATAGTATAGTACGATGAGTGATAAAACCCGAACCAAGAAAACAGGAAAAGAAGGAAGAATAATATTTATTTATTGATGATAGATAAAAATAAATAGAACAATGTTGTCATGCTAGTTCAAGGAAACCAATAACTTCCTTAACAATACTCTATTTTTCACACCCTCTTTCTAATTATTTTCTCCTATATATAGTTTCTGCCTCTCTTTTCTAATCCTTATTATTATCTAATTCCGTTGGGCCTTCCTCTTGTAGACTTGCCTAACATACTTGTCTAACAGGGGCCTGCACCCTATCAATTAGATTTTAGGCACATGTTTATCTCTTTGTAAACATTGATTTTTTTAGCTTGTAGGAAAACTAATTTTAAATTTTTTTATACCTAAACGGCATAATTATTGATGTAATGAATGTGGCTTTTGCATGCCTTGTATTATTTTTGTTTCATGCATATGCAACATTTAAATCTTAATAGCTCTTCCTACTTAGTAGTCTTCCTCTCTGCAACGGCAATGCCTGGTTCTCATTTGACCGCACAAGATAAAGTCAACCATTCCAGAAATCAACAGTGTTAGAGCATGCTTTGATCCTATGATTCAGTTATGCAGCAATCTTCTTGATGGCTATGATTTGCTAGCCTCGTCTCCACCTATAGACTCTTCAGCTGCCTCATCTTATTCAGTATCTCTCATTACAAATTGATGGAGTGCAATATCATACCAACAATTACCAAGCTTTTAAATTCAATTGCAAGTTATAAGTGATGCTTAGAAATCCCGCTAAAACTTGCTGCCAGGATGTACAAATCAATTTCCCTTTCCTTTCTTTGATGACTTGAATTTTTACATCTTTAGCCACTGCATCTGATGTACTTTTATACCAAATTCTGAACCAATGTAGTCATCTGGTGAAGTGAGTGTAAAATAGTTTGCCTTATAGTGAAGTTTGTCAAAATCTAAATGCATTTTATTTTGCCGTTGGGAGGGAAGATCAGTGTTAATTGATCACTTTTTTTGGTTGCAATAAGGAAAGACCAAATGCCGTGCAGAGTTTATAGAATGTATGAAAATAAATAGAAATAATTATTAGAAGTACAAAATTGTTTCGAATAATTTGTAGTTAAAAAATAAGCATGTTAATAGTGGTATTTAACCAAAGTATTAGCATCGTCAAACTTGTTTTATTCGAAACTTTAATTAACTTTTATATATTAAACATATTTTATAATTTCTTATCCGATCAAAATTTTCATTTATGATGTTTATGAATTAAATTTTAAATTTTTTAAAATAAATTATTAACAATTAAAAATAATTTTGTATTATAATATAAATATTTATCATGAATTTAAAATATAATTTAAATACTTAAAATATGTATTTATATAAATTTTAAATAT